TGAGCTCAGGGAACTCAGAGTCTAAGGGAAGAGACTGGCAAAAAGAGTGGGGGCTGGCCAAGTGCTTGGGCTTTCCACATCAGAATAACTTGATAGAGTCAGGCCCTGGAGACAGGCTACTCTGATTCAAATCCCACCTGTGTGATTGGCCAAGCCAGCAGCCTCCTGTGCTTCAGTTTCTTCTTCTGTGCACTGGGATCATCACAGTACCCGCCTTTGAAATGGTTGTTCAGTGGCACACATCCACACAGAGCTCTTGGTAACAGTTCTGGCACATGGTATGAGTTTGAATACTCTCTGCTGCTGTCTTCACTGGGACAAAATTTGGAAATATAATGCTGCTTAAATTGGGTGTCTTAACTAACAAGGTGATTTTATCTGATGCTCACTCAAGTAAAAGTAGACTGTAGCACAAGGAGAAATAAAGTCATGGGCCAGACACAATGGCTCATACCTGAAATCCTAGCACTTTTAGAGGCCAAGGTGAGAGGATCACTTGAGGCCAGGAGCTCAAGAGTGAGACCCCTATCTCTACAAAAAGCACAATAATTAGCTAAGTTCAGTGGCATGTGCTGTACTCCCAGCTACTTGGGAGGCTGAGGCAGGAGGATTGCTTGAGCCTAGGCATTTGAAGTTGCTGTGAGCTGTGATGATGCCACTGCATTCTATCCCAGGCAGTAATAAGACCCTGTCTCAAAAGTCCCCACTATCTGTAAAGAAATACTAAAACATAGCAACCGTTTATTACTTTGAAGGTCAATCTGGTGGTTGGCCTGCCCTGGGCTCCACCGTTATCTTTGGACAGTGTGGGAGAAGGCCCTGTGATTGGTGAGAGTAACATGAGAGCTCAGTCAAAGGCATAGGCTTGGGGAGTGCCCTAGGGAGAAGAGGCTCTATGTGGAGAGGAGGAAGAAATCCACTTTCCAGGAACAAGTGCTAAGTGCTAGAGGGAGCAGTAGGTGGTGTCAGGGCTGCAGAAATCACAGCCTACTTAAAAGGACTTAAATACTAAGATAACATGGACTTTGTCCTTTTGGCAATAGGGAACCATGGAGGGGTGTTGAGCAGTGGAGGGCCATGGTCAGCCTATTCTGGGGAAAATTACACACTTCATTCCTGCCCATGAAGGTTCAAGGACTCCCCCCCCCCAAAAAAAAAAAGAGTCAGGAATTAGGCTGGGCTGGCCTGGCTGTGGTGACCCTAGTCTTCTCCTATCTCCAGAGAGATCTTGGTAGAGGAGAGCAACGTGCAGAGGGTGGACTCGCCAGTCACGGTGAGTACCCTATGTCTCTACCGAGCCTGGCTTGGTCTTTTAGCCACATGGACTTTCCTTAGTCACATGGGCTCTATGAGTTCCCTACTCATTCTCAGGAGCCTGGAACACTCTTTGTATCTTTCTCCACCCCCATCTTCAAGGGAGCCCTGCTGTAGGAAATGGATGTCATAGGAAAGGACTTCTGATTTTTTGATGGGGAGACTCTTGGCCAGGGAAGAAGGATTATTCTTAATTTTATGAATTATTCTATGTATATGTTTCTAGGCCTCTGCATTGGTAACTTTATTCTGGGTACCTTAGGGAGAGGAAGGAATGGACCGGGTCCTCCAGGTACTGCAGGTCTAACTAGAAGGACTTAGCTTCAGCATTTGCTTACCGAGGAGTTGGCACTCAGTGTGGGGTGGTGGGTGATTCCAGACCAAGCTGACTTGTTGTGGAAGAGCAGAATTTTGGCCCTGTGAAGTAAAGGCATAACCAAGAGTGATGAGTCTCCTAAAGCAGCAGGTGTTTTAGAAGTCTTGGGAACAAAGGCTTTCCACTGTGAGAGTTCCAACCCACCTTCTTACTCTTCAGGTATGTGGTGACATCCACGGACAATTCTATGACCTCAAGGAGCTGTTCAGAGTGAGTGGGGAAAAAACTGGGGAACGTGATGGGGGGGTGACTGGAAGTCCCCTTTAATGGAAAGTGGAAGCCTTGATTTAGTGAGTAGAGTAGGGGCAAGTGGCCCCTAGTCAGATGGGCCCGTTGTGAAAGAAGGGCCTCACTAGACTGGAAAATGGGCCACCACAGTGGGTAGAGGGTGGTTTAGGACCAAGCAGAACCTTCTTCCCCCTAGGTGGGTGGTGATGTACCTGAGACCAACTACCTTTTTATGGGGGACTTTGTGGACCGTGGCTTCTACAGTGTTGAAACGTTCCTTCTGCTGTTGGCACTTAAGGTAAAAACCCCTGACTTTCCTGGCCCCTACACATCAGATCTGGCCTAAGTGCTTCCTTTCTACCTGTGTCTCTAACTCAAGCCGTCCCAACTTGGAGGTTTGCTGCTGGTGATGGGCCAGTTCTGCTTGGCAGAGTGGTCAGCCAGTTTCCTTGACTTGGGCTGCCTGATTGGGCTGCTGGAGAGAGGCTGCTGGGCAGCAGCCTAGGGGAGGGAATAGACACATGCTGCATTCACAACAACTTGGTATAGTATCCCTCTGTAGGAAAGATGGTAAGGGGCCTGGTGTATCTAGCTAAGGACTTGTCTGTATTTGGTGGGTGAAGTAGAAGCCATTAGGTTTGTAGTTGATGGGGAGGGGGTGGGCCTACATTCTCTGGAGGAGGGACTGGGGGCCTGTGAGGTGGCTAATGCCACAGGAGTCAGGCAAGAGATGATACAAGCCTGGGCCAGGGCAGGGTTTTGAGATTTAGGGCATGAGTGGAGGTACAGAGCCTGGGCCCAGCCCTGCTTGGTGGCTCCTCTAGGTTCGCTATCCTGACCGCATCACCCTGATCCGCGGTAACCATGAGAGCCGCCAGATCACCCAGGTCTACGGCTTCTATGATGAGTGCCTGCGCAAATACGGCTCAGTGACTGTGTGGCGCTATTGCACTGAGATCTTTGACTACCTCAGCCTGTCAGCCATCATTGATGGCAAGGTAGGCCAGTCTGGGGCTGCATGGGGCTGGGAGAGGTGGGGAAGCTCTGGGCCTCAGCCCCTTCCCTCTTTCCTTGTTCTCTTGGCAGATCTTCTGTGTACACGGGGGCCTTTCCCCTTCCATCCAGACCTTGGACCAGATCCGGACTATTGACCGAAAGCAAGAGGTGCCTCACGATGGGCCCATGTGCGACCTCCTCTGGTCCGACCCTGAAGGTGAGGGCAGGTGGGCAGGGGCAGGCTGGCTTCACCCTTCATTTGTCAAGACTGATTAAATCAAGTGCCATGAAGAGACTCAGGCTGGGGGGTTGGGGAAGAGCGGGAGCAGGGCTGGTCTTCACTGGCTTCCGCCCTTGACCTGCCAACTGGCTGCAACCCTCGAGGAGGAGCAGGGAGGCCTGCGTCAAGCTCAGAGAATGGCCTGGAGCGTGCATATCATGGCTCAGAGGGCTGTTGAGGACCAGGTCATTGGCTCCTGAAAGCGAAGGGGCTCAGAACGTGACAGCAGCTTCTTCAGAGGTCAGACTCCCTGAATGATAGCCCCCTGGGGCCCCCTCATTTTGCAAGTCTTCTCAATAGTATGGGACTGAGCTGAGATAAGCCAGATCTCCCAAGGATCAATCCAAGGCCTCTATCTCACTCTCACATGCATTCACACACACAGCCTCTACTCCATCACTGCCACTCCCAGGCTGCCTGGTTATGGTAGGGGGTGACCTCACATCCTGGCATGCTAATGTGTGCCTCCTTTACTCACCTGTGTGCCTGTTTGGATAGGAAATCATATGATCACTATGATTATGAAGTGGCCCCAGTCATCGGTGTTTTCTCCTCTGGGGCCTGTCTGCCCAGCATTTGCCATCCTGGCCCCCAGAATCTCCCAGACCATATTTAGGCCCCATGTTCCTATCCTATGGGCTTATTATTGAAGAGGGAGGAGGATAGGCTGTTCACCTTCAAAGGGCAGTGGGCAACCAGAGAAGCCTTGAAGATGTCCTCTCCCCATCCCTACCTTATTTTCTCATCAGACACAACAGGCTGGGGTGTGAGCCCCCGTGGGGCCGGCTATCTATTTGGCAGTGATGTGGTGGCCCAGTTCAATGCAGCCAATGACATTGACATGATCTGTCGGGCCCATCAACTGGTGATGGAAGGTTACAAGTGGCACTTCAATGAGACCGTGCTTACTGTGTGGTCGGCACCCAACTACTGCTACCGGTGAGCTGGTTGGACCAGATGGGAATGGGGATCCAAGATGATCAATTCCTAACACCACTGTCCTCTTTCCAGCTGTGGAAATGTGGCAGCCATCTTGGAGCTGGATGAGCATCTCCAGAAAGATTTCATCATCTTCGAGGCTGCTCCCCAAGAAACACGGGGCATCCCCTCCAAGAAGCCCGTGGCCGACTACTTCCTGTGACCCCTCTGTCCCTACCCCCTCCAGCCCTTCTGGCCCTCGGACCACTGTGACTCTGCCCTCTTCCCCAGACGGAAGCTGGGTGAGGGGCTGTCCCTGGCTCTGCTCTGCCCCCCAGAGGGCACTTCAAGGGTGAGGACTTTCTCTGGAGAGGCTTGGGGCCTTAGCTCCATCCTCCTCTCCTTTCTCCCCACTTGAACCATGAAGTTTCCAATAATTTTTGTTTTTCTTTTTTTCCTTCTTTTTTTTTTTTTTGGTCTGTTTTTAGATAAAAATTTTGAGAAAAAATGAAAAAAAATTCTAATAAAAGAAGAAAAATAGTCTTTGGGTTTATGTCAGATTTGGTTGGGGACATGCAGGGTTGATGGGCTGGGACTTTGGGGCTTTCACAGCCTCAGGTTCCTGGGCTCATCCAGTAACTTCCCCAAAGCCTTCCTCAGTGCTAGCTAGAGGGCTGGGTTCTCCTAGGCAGCTTATTTAATTCTCCAGACTTCTATGTTATGAGATCCAGATTCCCATCTTTCTTGCTGAGGAAGCAGACCCAAAGCTGATTTATGTGCACAAGATCAAGCAGCCGCAAACTGGGAGGTCTGGATCTGGGCCTGAGTCTCCCCATAAAGGCTTTGCTCACCCAGGCCCACTCAGGGCCAAACACCATTACTCTAGTGTTTCCTGAGCACTATTGAGTTTTATTAACAAAAATACTCTGGTTTTGAGAACAACAGACTGGTGTGGCTTTCACCATTCATGAGGGGATAGAACTTGCCTGAGCCAAACAGGGCCAGGAGGTAGGGATGCTGGTCTGTGGCCCCATTTGGCCAGGCGGAGCCCCTCTCCATTCACACCAAGGTGAGAGCAGGGAAGGGGAAGCTGGCCCCAGCTGGACTTGCAGCAGCCCAGGCTAAGCTTTGAAGCCAGAGGGGGGTGGGAGTGAAATCAAGGTGTGAAGTGGGGGGGCAGACCCAAGGCTGCCATTTGGTGTAGGAGATGGAGCCAGTGGATGTGAGGGGGCGGGGGGGGGGAGGAGGGAACTAGAGGTTTGTGATGGGAGGTAGAGGGAGGCTGAGCAGTGGCTCAATACATATGCTTGGAACCCACATCTAGGTACCCCCCAGACACAGGGTATGGTAGGGGGAAGGGGCTCCCTTGGAGGAAGTGCTGGGCAAAGGATGCTGGAGGGGGAGCGGCTGGGTACCCTGAGCCCCCTGGTCCTGGCTGCAGCTCCAGGAATGAAGCTGAGTAGGGGCTGGGGCGCCCAGAATCTGGAGCCTCTGGGAAGCTGGGGTTCCTAAAGAAAGAGAGATCAGAACAGGGGAAAGAGCCCCCACCCTGGGACAGCCCATCCCTGTGCCCTTGTCCCACTCACCTGGTTGGAAGGTGACAGGGCGCCCCATGGAAAGCCGCAGGGTGCAGGAGGTATGCCTCAGCACTGGGGCCACCACAGGGGGGACCTGGGGCAGGGGCAGCTTCCCGGGGGGCTGGGGCCTGATCTGGGTCTGTCTCACGAATGTCCCCACCCAAGGTGGAGTCACAGGGACCACCTGGTGCATCTGGGGAGACAGAGGGACAGGTTGGGCTAGGGAGGGTAGGTTTCTCAGGCCTGATTGCCAATGGGACTACCCTCACCTCCACTTCCATAGGCCTCTGTGGTTACTGGCTCTGGGCCCCGCAGTTTCCTCTTCACACGGGCATCTCGCTCCCTGGGGAATAGTGATGGTGATGATGATGACGATGATGGTGATGATGATGATGGTGGTAATAAGAGTACTTGCCAGGTGTTGCAAATTTCACCCTCCCACAGACCCTACCATGTATGCCTCAGACCCATTTTACAGATGAAGGAACTGAAGGCCAAAAAATAACTAGAAAGTGGCAGAGCTGGGATTTAGTCCCCACTTAAGTTTGCCCATGTTTTCCTCTTGTTCTTAGAATCAGTGGAAACTCCTTCCCAAGCTGCAAGGCCAGGGCACACTCTGACCCCAGCTCATCTCTGCCCACCTCCACTCGCAGTCTTTCAGCCTTTCTCTAAACTCCTCTTCTGTCTCCCCCCTAACCTCTTAACTCATTCTTCTTTTCTCAGTTCAAGTACAACTTCCTCAAGGAAGTTCTCCCTGACCATACACCCTTCTCTCAAAACATTTATCATGTTTCTGTTTTTATATTTGATAGGGTGACCCTCTGATTAACGTCTATCTTCTTTGACAGATTGGAGGCTCTTTAAGGACAGAGGCCAACTCTGAGGGGCTGTACTCAAAACAGAGGCCCAAGTCCTTACAAACCTAGTATTATCTGGCTTCCCACGTCCTCCTTGACTTACTCCAGTGATGCCGCAGGCATGGTCCACCCCCTTGGGGTCCTTGCTCATGCTGGTCCCACGCCACAGCACACCCAGAGCACACTGGCTCCCTCCCTTACTTCTTCAGGTCTTTCCTCAAATGTCCTATTCCTTTGGACTCTTATCTAATACTTCACCCAGTCCTTCCTATTGTCCTCCCTTCCCGTTTTAGTTGTCTCTTTAGAATGTATTCTTAACATATAGCATTTTTATTTCTCTTTTTTATTTGTGTATGTCAGTCCCATGAGGACAGGGATTTTGGTTGCTTTGTCTCCTGATGTATCTATCTCCAGTCCCTAGAACTGTAACTGGCACCTAACAGACACTAAGTATTTGTTGATTCAATGAGTGAATAAATGTTTTTACTTACCACTGCATTCCTGAATCCAGCACAGTGCCTGGAGCTTAGTGAGTGATTAATAAACATTTGTTGAGTGAATGAGTGAATGAACAAGGCCCACCTCTTACAGTTTCTGCCATTCTCCCGGAAGCCTTTGGCAAAGGGATTGGCTGCAATCTTCAGTTGTGTGATCTGGGGGCACAGACCCAGGGTCAAAGCTCCTGTGGCCTGGGCAGGGCACCATACCCCCTCAAGCAGGGTCACTCACCCGTGGGTTCTGGTAGGCTGTCACAGAGATGAATGTGGTTTCTGGGAAACGGAAGGAAGCCACGCCCCCCCAGTGTTGGCTGCAAAGCTGGGCTGCCCGCACCAGATGTATGCGAGGCTGGTACTTGTGCATGGAGTGCAAGATCAGCTAGGAGGGAAGAAATGGGAGTGACTCCCTGCCCTGCACCTCACCCTTGGTCTCCCATTAAGCACCACCCCTGTCCCCTATTCTGGTGTCCCAGCCTGGGCCTCACATGGCCATGTGGGTCCAGTGTGCTGTTGGTGAGCTTGACACGATGGAAAGACACAGGCTGCCGCATCCAGTGACTACCAGTGGCAGGAGAGTCAGGGTGAATATAGACTCGGTCAGGCAGGCGGGGTTCTGCCTTACCACTGGGCTCCCAGCGCCGGCCCTGCCAGCGGTAGCGAGCCCCATCCACTGGAACCACATCCAGAAGAAATAGATAGCGGGCCTCAGGGTCCAGGCCGGTGACTGACACTCGACAAGCAGGGAACATGCGCCTGCACAAGGGAGGGGAACAGAGAGGCCTAGCGTGGCCATAGCACCAGCAAAGGCACACAGCAACAGGCTCCCAGTGCTGTCAGAGAAACCCCAAGGGAGATAGAATTTAAACCCAGAGAGCTGGAAAGTTGTCTCATCCCACTTTACTTATAGGGAAACAGGACAGGCAAGTTAGGTGATCTGACCAGGGTCACACAGCAGGTAAGGACTCCTGATTTCTAGACCCTCAAAGCCCATATGCACTAAATTTCTCTCTGAAATCTTGCCAGGAGCCTACTCAAGGTCTCCTCAACTGATCTCTAGCATCAGACTCTGCAGCTGTTAGACAAATTTGTTTCAGAAAAAACATTCTCTGCCTTTAGTGGGACAGAGAACTTATCGTGCTAGGGCCTGAGCTCCTTCCCCTTGACATAGGCCACACATTGACCACATCCCTATCTCTAGCTAACCCAGTACTTGATCATATACTGACTCCTATTCAGTCATATACCAACTCCTGATCCTGGCCAGGTTTTCCTCATGTTAGTCACTGGCTGGCCCTTGACCCCAGTCAGTCTGAATCCTAAGGCCTGGCCCAGACTGGCCCATGATGTAGGCCACACACACTAACCTATATATAACCCAGCCAGACTTATTGAACCTGGTAGACTGACCTTTGACCCTTGACATAGATTGGTCCCTAAACTCAGCCAGAGACTCCACAGACTGACCCTTGACTATTGCCACAGAATGACTCTGATTCCACCCACAGAGTAAATCCTGTTCCAGGCCATATTTAGATTCTGAACTTAGGTAGAGCCCCAGACCTCAGGAAAACCCCCAAACCTAGCCCCATCCCAAGAATTCTGCCTTCCCCAAGAGACACCCACCAGCGACACTAATCCTAGCCAGCCCCTCACCTCCCAGCTTTGGTGATGATCATCTCTGTTCCCACAGAGCTGAACTCCTTCCACAGCTCTCGGTTCTCCAGGCTCAGGCTGACCCCAGGGAGTGAATGGAGGGCTTCTGGAGTAGATGGTGGCAGTTCAGTGCCCATGGCTGGGGGCACAAGGGGTAGAGGTGGGGGGGCAGCCAGAGTGCGGGGAGCAGCCTCAATTCCGGAGAGGAAGCAATCCAGTTTGGGGGTGTCCAAATCTGGAGATGGAGGAAGAATGAGGAGCCAGGGGAGAGCCACAACAACCCCAAACTCCTACCCAAGGAGCTGGTCCCAATGCTCACCAGGGTAGCGGTAGCCTTCCGCCAGGGCAGGCGGGAAGCTAGAGTCTGCCGCGGGCTGGGGGTGCCCCAGGCAGTAACCAGCCCCCAGGGAAGGGTACAACTCTCGTGGATGGTACATGTTGTAGTTCCCTGTGGCCTGAGGTCCTGCTGCCTAAAGTCCCCCAGTGCTGAGAGATGCCCCCTTTATAGCTCACAGCTCAGCCCCTTCCAGACCTAGGATCACAGCCCCTCCCTCTTTGGGGCCCTGGAGTTGGGCTGGGGTGGAGACCCCTGGGGCCTCGATGGGGTCCAAGAGAGGGCCGGATACCTGGGTATCTTCCCCTCCTCCTTAACCGCCCCCCCCACGGCGGCTTCATTAGCTCCGACCCCCTGCCCCCTCATTACATAATTAACTCCTCGGCCTGATTGATCCCCGGGGCTCGGACAGGGACGCAGTTTGGCGCTTCCGGCCAGCTGGTCCCCGTTCCCACGGGGGGAGCCCCGGCAAGGGATAAGCTGGAGGGCGGGGCCTGGACCCTGGGACGTAACCTGGAGTCCTGGAACAGATCCTGGCGCCCCAGGCTTTCTGGCAGGTGAACCTCTCCCCACCCCCCTTCACTTGAGGACCAGCCTTGGAGGGCAGAAGCCTAAGTGGAGGGAAAGTGCAGGGCTGGAGGGATGCGGCCTGAGCTGATTACGCGGGGCATTCAGGACCTCGAGGAGTCTGGGGCCAACGCCCAAACCCTGGAGTTTCCCCAGTTTTCATTCTGAAAACCTCCACCATGGGCTAAGTCTCAAAAGTTTAGAGACGCGCACGGCTCGACAGTCTGGCATCTTGCGCCAGTGTTTCCCAGAGGTCCCGCGCCAGGGAACTCGGAGAACTACACTTCCCAGTAGGCCCAGCGGTGAAGCTCGCCTGGGAAGGCCGAAGGGCCGTGCCGGGGGCCGCTGGGAGTCGTAGTTTGGGCAGCTGACCCGGCGGCGGGCTCGCCTACCGGGAGAGCTGTACCTAGGCGGCGGCCAAAGGCCGAGGCCGAGAAGACATAGATGAGTCGAGGTCAAAGCCTAGAGAGCCAGCGTGGGCGCGAGAATCTCCATTAGCTGTGAGACCCGTCCTGGTTCCAGACACCCAGCTTGGGCGGCCGTGTCTACCCTGTTCTTCGCTAGGGCGCAGAACCGCGAGCAGGTCGATAGGGGCAAGATACGTTTGAGTTCCCTGTTCCCGATTCCACGTGAGCCTGGGGCTGTCTCCACTCCATTGTTTTATTATGTACAAACGCTACAGAACGAGGGGAACAGACACGCATGGGGTAAAAGGGGCCTGGTGGGAGTAGTTCACAGAGCAGATGGTGCACTGGGGCCAAGAGAGCAGCACACAGGCCATATCTATAGGGCAGGCGAGACAGGAAGGGGTTAAAAACGAGATCCAAGCCAGCCAGATCGCAAGGAGTGCGGGGGTGTTGTCCCCCTTCTGATCTCCCCCCAAGGTCACAGTGCATGCAATAAAATATATATACAGGAGCTGGGGTCCTTCCTCTGCAGGGGCCTTGAGGGTCCAGAGCTCCCTTCGGGCGGAGAGCAGCCAGTGGCGCCCCCTGGCGGCCAGGCCGGGCTGGAGCCACATGCGCCTGGAGCAGGGGTCAGTCCCAGCCGTTGTCTTTGATCATGTGGTTGAGTTCAATGATGTACTTCCCCTCTTTGTACTTCTGGCTGCTCTCAAAGGCCTGTTCCTGAAAGGAGAGAAACCCTCATCCCTGAAGCAAAAGCCCCACACAAGGCACAGGAGTTGGGGAGTGGCTATGATTGGCCTGGTTTTACTTGTGAAAATACTGGCCCAGAGAAGCCAAGCCACCTACTCACAGACACACAGCTGGTAAATGGCAGGGCCATTTTTCTCACTAACAGGGGAACAGACAGAACTCTCTGAATCATAGGTACTTTTTTTTTTGAGACAGAGTCTTGCTCTGTCACCTGGGCTAGAGTGCAGCAGCGTCAGCTTATCTCACAGCAACCTTAAACTCTTGGTCTCACGCAATCCCCTTGCCTCAGTCTACCAAGTAGCTGGCATTACAGTAGCTAGGATTACAGGTGTGTGCCACCATACCTGGCTAATTTTACGATTTTTAGTAGAGAAGGGGTTTCACTCTTGCTCTAGTTGGTCTTAGATTCTTGAGCTCAAGGGATTTCCCACCCACCTCTGCCTCCCAGAATGCTAGGATTACAGACATTGGTCACCATGCCAAGCCCACAGCTACTTTTTCATTACTAATGATGGCTCCACTTTAGATGGAAGTGTCTAAATGGCTCAGGCCTGTGATCCTTTGAGCTCAGGAGTTCTTTTTTTGTTTGTTTTTGTTTTTTGGGTTTTTTCGCAGTTTTTGGCCAGGGCTGCGTTTGAACCCACCACTTCTGGTATATGGAGCCAGCGCCCTACTCCTTTGAGCCACAGGCGCCGCCCATGAGCTGAGGAGTTCAAAACCATCCTGAGCAAAAGCAAGATCCTGTTTCTACCAAAACCAGAAAAAAATTAGTCAGGCATTGTGGCAGGTGTCTATAGTCCCAGTTACTGGAGAGGCTAAGGCAGGAAGATCACTTTAGCTCAGGAGTCTGAAGTTGTTGTGAGCAAGGATGACCCCACAGCACTCTAGCCTACACATTAGGGTAAGACTCTGTCTCGAAAAAATAATCATAAATTTCATAGTCTAGGGGTTGCAGACTGGTAATCTGAGGACCATTTTGGCCTATATATGTGTTTTATTTGGACAACAGAGAGTTTAATAAAAATAACCTTAAAATATAGACAGGCCATGCTCATTCAATTGGCCCCATCCTGCTCCCTTCACCACCCCCAACCTATGCTCCCCCTTTTTCAAATCCATGGTATCTGGTTGGCCTTGCAGGCACCTGAGTTTTTGACCCCTGGACTAGGCCACCTCTTTATTTTACAGATGTCTAGAGAGACCACGCCACCAAAGACACATAGCAAATCTATGGCTAGGTCAGGGGTAAACTCGGGTCAGGGCTGTCTATCTGCCTCTATCCATCCACCTCACAGAGGTACCACAGCTCCAAGTGATGCCTAAAGAATCCTGTCCCTTGCAGTTTCCCAAGAGCATCTTCTTTGCTACATCTAATCTGATCCCTGCAATAATCTTGGGTGCCAGGTAGTGGCTTTATTTTCCACTGCCAGATAAGGAAATAAGACAGTAGTGAAATTAGACCCTGGACAGCAGCAGTAGTTGAGGGCAGGGGAAAAGGAGGCCTGTGAACTCAAGCTCCAGTTTGCTGTGGAGTCATGGGCAACTTTTCTGATTGTGTGAATGATAACATAAGCTGGTAGCCAAGGGGTCAGAGTAAAGAACAAAAAATCAACTAGGATTCTATTCCCTATTCTGTTACTTACCAGTTATGTGATCTTGGGCAAGTTACCTAGCATCTCTGGGTGTCCCTGTCATCTTCTGTAATGTGGAAATAGTAATGGATTCTACCTAAGGGATTGGTGTAATGATCGAATGAGATAATATATGCCAAGCACACATGTGGCACATAAGCATTAAATAAATGTTAACTGATTATATCCTCATCTCTAAAATGGGGATGCCAGTGCCTGTGAGGGAAGGAATAGGTTAAAATTCTAAAAGCCCTTACAGGATATGAGAGAAGAGAACGTGGTCAGGGGATTGAAAGACAGTTTGGCTTGTGTGAGCTGGGTTTATGCACTCTGAAAGGTTACCAGATAATTGTGAGGAGGTGGTTAGGTCAGGTCAGGTCAAAGGCTAGCCTGGGGTCAGGGGCCACTAACTCACATATTTCCAGCCCAAAGTGGTCTTGCAGTTCTCGCAGTGGATGTCAGCGACAGCATGGAGGCCTGTCAGCAGCACCCGCTCCTCGGCTGGCCCGCAGCCCACGTTCACCCTGCAGAGACATGGAGTGGTCCCAGGGAGGGTCCCGCCATCACAGAGCCTCACAGAGCCTCCCTCAACCTTGTATCCACTGTATCTGTCTTTAGCATACAAGAGAAGTGTGATCACAGCTTCCTGCCTGAACCAGGGAACTCTGGGGATCTCAGCATGATGCCAGGGGCCACAGGTCAAAATAGAGGTCAGGGAGAGAGGAAGAAGGCCAAATACTCACACAGAATTGAAGAGGTAGGCACGCCCCTGACTGCCCTGGAAGGACTGAAGGATGGGAAGAGAGGAGAGGTTACTGGTGAGCTGCCAGGCAGCCTCTCTAGCCTCCCATTCCAATCCAAACTGTGGCCTGGTTACCTTGGAGATGAGGTCGTCGTGGTTGGCCAGGTGAGCACGGCAGTGGGCACAGCTATACCTTCGGTGACAATCATCCAAGTAGGCCTGAAACGTCTTGGGCTTTGAAATCCGCACCATGGCGGGGGCCGGGGGCAGTGGCCCCACGCGAGGAGCAGCCCAAGGGGAGCAGAGGGAGCCCAGTGCCTGCCAAGGAGAGAGTAAGTGATCTGTGAGGACCTGGACCACACACACACACACAGGCACTCCTAGAGCCATGGGGACTCTCTCTGTCACACTTGGCTGCTCACTACTTTCCCCAGAGCCAGGAGCCTCTCCAGGGACTTGAGTCATTTCAGTTTTGACTTAGTGAGGAGGCCCCAGGTTGCATCAGTGGGGAAACTGAGGCTAGGAGGAGCCCAAGGTGAGTCATCCACCTGCTTCCAGCCTCACCCCTGCTGACCTGGCAGCTGAAGCTGGAGGAAGGGGCGTTAGAATAGATGGGCTGTCAGTTCCCAGTTTAGGAGAAGCATGGAGGTGGGGATTAGGAATTGGTTGGTCTTTAGCACCTCGTTTGGACTGGGACTGGGGTTTCACTTAAGGTGCAGAGAGTTCATCTGGGAGAGGATCCCTCACCTGGAGGAAGCAAAAGGCCTTGCTGAAGGTGGAGGATAACCTAGGAGGGGAGGGGCTCATACCTGAGGGTGCTAAGGCCTTATCTACGCCGAGAACATCTTACCTGCATCGCAGAACCTTACCTGAGACCCCGGGGCTCACCTGGGGCGCGGGGGTGGGGGCGGGAGCCAGGGAAAGGGGCAGTCCTCGCAGGCCGGGCGGGGGCGCGGAACGGCGCGCAGCCTTGTCTGTGTGGGCCTCACCTCGCCTGGGCGCGCGTGGGCCCGGTCTGCCGGGGTGGCCTGGCCTGGGAGTGGGGGGCGCTCCTGGTGGGCGCCGTCCCCCCCGGCCCGGGTTCGCAGCCGCCTCGACTTGTTTACACCGAGACCAGCTGCTGCCGCCGCTGCGGCGGGAGGGGGAGGGGACCCGCCTCCCGTCCCGGCGGCCGCCGTGGCCAATTGGCGCGCGGCATGCAAATGAGGGGGCGCGTCATATGGCGGCCAGCGCAGGCCTGGGCTACCCTTCCCCCTGCGCCCAGCTTGGGCCAGCCCGGAAATGCGGCTGTAGCCGGCAAACCGACCATTGGCCCTCTGCGTCCAGGTCTGGTTGCCCCTTTGGCCTCCTGCAGTCCTTGAAGATTAAGGATCTGAGAGTCCTGACCCGGGGTGAGTTTAGGAGGAGGCTAGTGTCTGCACCCAGGCCCCTGAGAAATTTAGTCATAATTATCTGCGTTTAGCCACCATCATTGTCCCACTCTGGTTATCTCCTCCTATTGTCTCTGTTTTGGAAACTGAGGCCCAGAGAGGTCTCAGGTTATGCAGCCGAAAAGAGGCAAAGTCCGAGTTCTCACTTTGGTCCAATTCCATGATCTTTGCTATGGCATGAACAATAGACTCAGTTCATCTTTTAGAAGAGCTAAAGATATATATCATAGTTAGACCTGTAGGAGCCAGAGCCTTGGAATAAGGCAGTTCCTACCCTTGACCATCAGCCTCCTCTAGGCAGCCTCTTCTGATGCTCCTACCTCTAGGTTTGGTTAGGTG